TCCTAAAATGGACGCAAAAAATGGAAGCAGTTTTCTGCTGGACAAAAATGTATCATATTGCAGTCTAATTATTAAAATAATTGTATAGAAAGGACAGGAATTCAAAAGCAATGAGCTAATGCTGAAAGTGCAACTTTCATTCTATAATGAAAAGTGCAGGGTAGTTTTTATCTGGGGTTTTTGCTAGTATTGTACAATCATTGTTTTTATGATTTTATTTGTAAGAATACAAGTAGTAAATAAACCCTCCATCTGCTGAAACACATCAGAAAAGGGTGCAGTGACTGGCAAAATTGTGCTCACCCAACACGTGGTACAAACCTTTAAACTGAATAGTTTTTGTGCTTCTTTTTTTTTTAAGTTAGATGTAATCAGTAGCATGTCCCACACTGTGCCACGTAATCAAACTTTACCCTGCATAGTGTTAAACGACAGTAGTCTGGTGATTTTTTTTTCTTAAATGTACTTCAAACAGGTAAATTTACATATAATCTATGTTAATTACACATAAAGTGAAAAGTTATAAGAATTTTGTTATTTTAATTTAGATGATTATGGCTTATAACTCATGAAAACCAGAAATACAGTAGTTCACTTAGTTATAATTAATTAACATTAATTAATAATCGCATTATTTTCTTTATCAATAAATTTTCAATGTGAGTGGATTGGGATTCAAAAGGCATAAATACAGCATGTACTTTGTTCAGTAAACTCATCCACAATCACAATCGTTCAGATGACGATAATCAACACCCTCCACAAGGGGGGGCAAGTGAGCCACAGCAGGTCGTTGATGGAAAGACTGGCTGTTCACAGAGTGCTCTAACAATGCATATTAGTGGAAAGCTGACTGTAAGGCAAAAGCAACAGCGGTATCCGCTGGCTAGAGAGGCTCAAATCAACTTTCGTGAGACAAAAGTCAATTGAATTGAGAATGAATTACTCATGTTACTCAGGACTTCACAGAAAGTGGACGAAGGCTGGTGTATGAGCATTAATAACTACCAACTGTTGTGTAGCAAGCACTCCTGAACCAGATACGGTGTCAGAAGAGTCTTACCTGGACTGAAGAGAGAAACAGAAACTTTTAAAATAAAGGTAAATTTTGCATTTCATTTGGAACTCAAGGTCCTGGAGGTGGATGGAGGAATGGAGAGACACAGACTCCAAGGTGTGAGAAGTTTCTGGGTGCATGGCATCTGCTGGTGTTTGTGGTGGTTAGTCCAAAGTCAACTTAGCTTCTACCAAGAGATTTTAGAGCATGTCAGCTTCCACCTGCTGACAGGCTGATTTCTTTAGCAGCTGACCACAGTGCCAGAGCTACAACCAAATGATTTGCTGGCCATGTTATTGCTGTGCTTAATGGACCAGCCAACTCAACTTATCAGAACACCACAGAGAATCTCCAAATATGAGACCTCATCACGAGGAAGATAAGAAACACTCGACCGAAAAGAGCTGAAGGCGGTTACCAGTTTGGCTCAGTGACCGAGCCAACGAAGATATGCAGCTGCCCAGGTTGGACTCTGACCTGAGGGTCTTTTAATCTGTCTAACAAAGACTAGAAAGCCCAAAATAGACAATTAAAAAACCCAACCTGGTTATCAGTAATACATTAGCAGTACTACAACCTGATCACCTCCAGCTTAGGCTGCTGTAATTCATGGTAAAGGAGCCCAAAACCAAGTACAGTGTGAAATGAACATACAGTACTTAACATACAGTACTTACAGAAGTTGGACATTTCTGTAATACTAGTTATTTTTTGACCTCATAAAATACTCTAATAATCTAATAGAAATACTGGATGGATTTTTTTTATGCCATAATTATTCAAATTAAAGTTTAAAAATGCTCAAATGATTTCACTTAACATCCACCAAATACAGAATACATGAAAGCTTATCTTTTTTTTACTAAAATGCACTAGAATTAAGTTTTTTATGATTTTCAAATAAATTCTGTTTGTCCTTGATCATCATCACTGAACAACTGAATAATGTCATTTTATTATTGTTTTTATGTCATACTGTCATATGATTGAAAAGTCTCATGACTGTATTGCTGTTCATGCCACCACTTACAGTAAAAATGAAAATAAAAGTTTCTTCATAACACTGTATTGTGCAACTCCTGAAACCAGAATGTCAGCTTCTTTGGAGGAATCTCTGCTGCGTTTCAGTCATTTCTCCCTTTCCTCTATTCTGTCTGATGAAAGTCAAACCACATCATCATCATCATCATCATCATTATTATTACCATAATACAAGATTCCACTGTAATGTAAAACAATGCAACAATGACAGAGGCTAGAGTTTGAGAACAACACGACAAACGGGAGACAGGAAGTGGGGGTTTTCTGCAGAGTTTTCTGACAGTTACGGGTTAGAAGGAAATGAATTGTGGAAACCAAATGTGGTCAAGAGAATTCTCTAGAGTCCCGTGACGAGTAAGGACATTTGACCAAGGTTTTCATCGTGGTCAAATGATGGTCTTCGTGGCAGGGACACAGCACATCACAGGTTGTTGCAGGAGTAGCTACTGAGAAATGTAAAAAGTAGCAGTGGTTCCCAAATTGTGTGCCAAGACAGTCTCGTGTGTTCCTTTAAATTCGGTGTCAGCCTCATATTATTCTTAAAATTGCACTAAAGGAATGTATCAGATCTAAATGTACTATATTGGTACACTTGAAATCATCTGACTACTAGCATGGAGGTTACACAGGTGCCCTTTTTATACCTCACCTGTAGGTGTCAAGCTAGATGCTGCAAATGTTCCATAAACCATTTCCCTGGGAACATGTGAATGCATACATTTAGCCTCCCAGCCTAACTGAGTAACAGAGAACAAAAGACCTTGGACAAGCAAGTAACCAAGAAGCTGGTGGTTACTGTGAGTGAAACCCAGAGTCTAGAAAAAATCAGGTCCAGACCTGAGGCCAACAGAGCATCTTTGGAGAGACCTGTGCACCAGGGCTGAACGCTCCAAGAAGAAAACAAACAAAAGAAAGATACACCATGCTCGTAAGATAATTCCCACAAAGAATTAAAAATAGAATTACTGCAAAGGAACCTTAAAATATATTAATCACTTATATAACTACCGTGTTATAT